GCACTGTTGAGGTTGTTTTGATAATATTTTGGCGTTTTTTGATAAAATCATCATATGGGTAACAAAGTAAAAAAAAAAAAAAGTTTTCCCCACTTTATCACTTTGTTGGAAATTTTAAAGAGCATTATTTTGTATTATTAGTAGCTGCTGCCTCAAACAGTCACAAAAAAGGCAATCAAACATCAACAATATCATATTATGTCCATGATGACAAGTGTGCTTTCTATCAGCATCTGTCATTACTTTCCTTCCCGGGTCTTTTTGATGCTAAATATACCAGTCTGCTGTCTACTCAAAGGAATTTACTTTTCAGATGCCTCCTTTTAAAGAAATGTTGCTGACATCCACCAAACCAAATCTCTCAACCACAGATTTACTTGTTTACCATATGGCTCTGTATAAATAATAATAAATTCACTTTCATTTTTAATACATGTGTAAGAAACCAGGCATAATATGAATGATTCTTGTGAAGATGAATATATGAGTGGAAATCTAAAGTGAGGAAACCTGTTTGTGAGCTGTGCAGATGCTTGCCTTGCAGCCTTATTGGAACAAGATACCACTGAGCTTTAACAGGCACAATTTCATAACTGGAATTTATCATTTAGGAAAAAAAATATGTAGGGCCTGTCATGCATGTGTGACCTCAGCTATGCCAGTGCGGTGCATACAGCTCTGCTTTATATTCCACTCACATGCCTATTTTCCTTTTCCGTGGCTGGATTTAGAAGTGAATTTTAAATCAAGGTATTTTTTTCCCCAGCAGTTTTTTTTTGTGTGTGTGTGTGTCAGAGACAGTGCTACACTGTATGAATCCTCAGGGCCTTTAACTGTTTTCTTTGAATGTGGTTCCAACCACCAGGCTTTAGACTCCCACAAACCCCTTCTCTGACTATGTAAATATTCCATGAGTCGCTGCCCCCACACTGTAGATTGACAAGCACTGCTTGACTTGAAAACGTCATCTGAAACAGCGGGTTGGATGACAGACTTAGAACTATAGTACAGTACCCATACTTTATTTTACAAATTGGCACATTGTGTTTTTTGGAAAACCCTACTCTTTTTAGTCATGGAGCATGTCAATTAATGTGGATCAACCCACAACCTCCCTTGTTATTGTCGTTAACATGCCAACAAGTACATTAAGAAAAATCATTATAATTTCACAGTTTTTTCCCAGTAGGCTATAGGGAACAAAATATGGCTCACAGCATACTGGTGTGATTCATTCAGTACAAAAGGCAGGCAAATCATGCTGACAAAGGGCTCCAGAAACAGGCTTGCAGCAGTCGGGATTGACGACTCTGTCCTTGTTAATCAAGGAGATCATAGGTCACCTTGGCAATTATCAATTCTGAATGGACACAAAAACAAACTATCTTTCTAACAAATCACCTACCACGTTTTCATTTTCTCGTCTATAATTTATTTCACCCTGAAATGAGGAAGTGAGGGGGTTGGATAGAAAAAAACTGACAATCTTGAAGATGCCTGAAAAAGAGCTGATTAGTCATTAATAATAGAGACGAATGTGAGTTAACCCCATAATTCTGTGTTTGGTGTTAGCATGTGCCATTGTCTTCTGTGGGCTGTAATCTCACTAATCAATCTTGAACCACTAATAAATCACTGTCACCTTCACTTTTAACTCCCGATATCTGCTTCACTGCAGTAAAATTAACATCAGGCATTATGCACCCTGATCTGCACAAGGCAAAGTTGGATGTATTGATGATCTTACTGTTGTTGCACAAACCTTTCATCATGTTCATCTTTCGCTGCTACATGTAGAAATCAGATTCTGGTGAGTCTTTTACAACTAAGAACATTCATGCAATGCACCGACTGCCTTGTGAGACAGGCTCCACAGTGATAGTGATGTTCCCTTTAGCTGTACCGAGCACACTGCAGAATGTCACACAGAGATGTTCGTTTTTATCATCATAAGCACGGTTTTCTCATTCATCCTGCGTAGTTCTTTTTTTTTTTGCTATGTGAAACATAGTTCTAGCCTCACATACACCATTACCTCTATCTACTGAAGCTTTTGTAGCTCCGTGGACATCTCTGAGATACAGCTAATTAAAATTTCTCTGATAAAATAATTAGCCTCCCTGGCAGACAATGGAGACTGACATTCTTTTGTAATCGTTCAAATGAAGTGTTAAGAAACTTTTCAAGCATCTCACAATTTGCCGTCGACAGGACAACCACAACTCCGTAAATAATTTATACCGGCATATGTGCTTTTATTTTTTAAATGAACATTGCAAGGTTTTTAACCCGAGCCCACATCCCAGTGGGTGTGTATGGATTTTATGAAGGCAGGTAAATATTTAAAAAAATATTACACTGTAAGTTACATAAAGTTAAGATAGAAATCATTTCAGAGCAACATGAACCAATCAATAGCATTACATTTTTCACTGACCATTTAAGCCCCTCCCCCAAAACCCCCACAGCCCCCCCAGAAAAGGCTTTTAGTAAGAGGACTAACCAATGTATTTGGCAAGTGTTATACAGCGCTATCTCAGGTAATGCTGGCTGACATCACTGGAGTGACAGAGAGCAGCTAAAGTTAGCCTGAATCATGATCCAGCACCAGGTTCCAAACTGTGGAAATATAGCAATGCACAGTACTGCAGATTTACCAAAGTCCTGACATCACATCTGGGCTACCCTCTGTTCTGTATCTTAATGCAATCTCTTCTTCAGTGTTTCTTTATTGGTCTTCATGCTTTTGTCTCCTATACTCTAAGACAAATCTTAAAATATTAAACCAATCTAAAAAGGCTAAAAAAAAAAAGAAACCATGCAAACTCATTAATATGGATCATTTTAGATCCCATGTAAACCTCAACTTCTAGTTTTAGTTACTAAACTATGATTTGACAAGTACTGTTCAGGGGAAGGGTTTAGCAAATGGTCTGTACACATGAGATGAGTGTCTACTCAATAAGTTGACCAGTGATCTGCTCTTCTCACGGCAGGTTTGAGGACAACTGCTTGCATTCCCAGAGCACAGTAGATGAAACCCGCCTCAGAATTCCTAGTTGCCACATCCGTTGAAAACACTGTAAGTTAAAAGTAAACATCTTTCAGCTGAATCCCTTTAATGTCTCTGGATGGGTTATGAAATATGAATTCAGTATGGTTTTACTCTGGAAAAAAAAAATAAGGACACCTCAATCAATGCTGAGTGTTCCACTTACATTTTGATTGAGGGCAAACACTTTGATTTATTAATCTTTGTAAAATATATATTTTTTGTTCTTTTCTTTTTTAACATGACCTTGAGTAAATGGTTGATGACTTGAATGCTGCAGTGGCTCTGCTGTATAATAAAGATTAATGATCAGTGATTATGCTCTTGCCATGGTGAGTGAGACATGAGAGATCAGTGAAATGCCGACAGACCGTACATGGTCACTGACGTGCTGCTTTTCCTGTATGTGGAGTAGTAGACAAGCATTAAACAGTGTCGCAGGATGAGGTGACTGAGCAGACTAAATGCTTCCTTCATGTTACTCACTGTGATTACAATTGTAGTGTACACACTTTGAATACATTTTTCATTTACAATCACACTTCTGACTAATGTAGCCTGTCTGACATGTACATAAAGGAATTTGGTTTGCAAATGCTTTGAATAAATATCCCCCACTTCGTGGTTTTAATGCTGCTTTTATAAGACAGCTTACACATACCTTTGTTTTGCTCAGGTAAAAACAAACATCCCAATTCTGTATAGTCATTTTTTTACACTAGGGAGCTGTGTCATAATCGTCATCCTATACTGAATTACGCAATTAGCGCTTTGGAGAAAACCTTGTCTGAGAAGCAATTGCCTGGATCAACCTGTCCACTGTAATGAGGCTGGCTGAAAACTGCCTGCACCACTGGTTTCCTGCACTTCAGCTGTCCCTTGTGATATCCATCTCCTGAGTCTGGTCTGGCTTGTCAATCTGGGCTGGAGGGAGACACTGCCTCTGCTGATCACATCTGTCCACAGAGCTGCTTTCAACAGCATGAATAGTCATGGTAAACTGTGCCTCTGTCATCACAACCAGACAGCCCATTTAGATCACGCCGCACAACCTCGCAGAGAATTTCCTACACCTGCCTCATTCCAGTCCCGTTATAACTAGTCGAACATGCATATAATTTATCAGAACGGGTGGTTGTGTTTTGACAAATTTAATCCTAATTAGAATGAGTATGTATCAAAGGCCGTATTTAGACTCGGAATTAAAATGTGTCTTGGTGATCCGAAGACACATGAACAGCCGAGACACATCACTGTTTACACCTGCCAATATACATAAATCTCTAAGGTGCCCACCTGTGTTCAGATTTCGCTACTGCTGCGACACTTTTGCTTAAATATCAAAAGGCTACAACTACTAGTGTCACCTCGGCAAGTGTTTTCAGTGATCAGATCACAATCCATCTTGGTGGTTGTTTACACTTGTATTTATTGCTGATCACTTGGGATCTGATCACCCAGGATGTATTTTAAAACCAAGTCTAATGTGAACTGTAAGAATGGAATCCTCACTATTATATTTTTACAATCCTACATTTGTTTAAATTATTTTGCACACTAGCTTAGTTCATTAAACCTGTGATAATATTGGCACAATTCACTCACCTTGCAATATTACTGTAGAATCTTTGTGTGTCCATCCCAGAAGTGGACCCACTTAGTAACATTTAGACAGCTAAAGCCGTTGGATGCCAAACAATGAAATGCAAAGTAAAAATCACTTTAACATTTATACTGATGTTACAGATTTGGGCAGCGACATCTAGATTTGTGTCTAAGATCATATTTCATCTAAAACTGGTGAAGGCCAGCCAATACTTCAATATGTCATCAAAGCAAAACTGTCCATGTCTGCCCCATTAACACTGAGTAAGAGTCAGTATGGTAAATGGTCTTATACTTGTATAGCGCCTTTATATGCTTTTTTTACAGCACACTCAAAGCACTTTCACATTATTCGGTCATTCACCCATTCGCACTCCCAAGCACTCACCCACCGGTGACATCACCGGGAGCAACTGGGGGTTCAGTGTCTTGCTCAAGGACACCTCAACATGTTGACTGGACAAGCCGGGAATCGAACCGCTAATCCTCCGGTTAGGAAACGACCCGCTCTACCTCCTGAGCCACAGCCGCCCCCAGTATCCATGGTGACATTCAAGGGAGGGAGAGATATATTCCGTAGTTGAGAATTGCTACTAAATTAAGCTCATTAATGTCTAGAGGCTACAGGAAATATCTCAATGAGTCTAAAAAGTCTCCTCCTGTTTGATGGAGCAGCTCAGTCCTCTTTATAACATAACTAATTAGTACGTTCTTTTTAACCTTTTCAAAGTAGTAGTTCGTGCTAACAAGTATTTATTTATTGCCTGAGATCTTAAGAAGTGCTATCATTATCAGATTATGACTTAAAGATGACCTGTCAGCCCTCACCCTGTGATCAGCCCTGGCATTCACAATATATGAACTGAAGTAAAGATGAAAAGTTTTTAAATTTTGTTTTTTTATTATTGCATGGCATTGCATTAAAAATGGGAAGAGCAGATAAGGCGAACGTGACACTGCAGGGGTCAACCCAGCCAGCACAGCCCACCATACATTCTCAGTGGAGCTGATGAGCCCTGAAAACCCATCAGGGTACCTCCCTGTGTGGAGAGGAGACCACCTGTGGTGTTCTACAGATGTGCTTTGGAGGTGAGCTCCCCCACCCTCCCCAGTGAGTAGTGGGATATATTAATGGGGTAATCTCTGGTGTACATCTCCGAGGGAGCTGGTAGGGAACACCACTAAGAAGCCCTCAGCTTTCCTCTAGGGGATTCTGCAGGTGTGCTAATATGATATCAGGGCTGTCTGAAGGATGTACTATACGGCAGAACAATGACTAGCAAGATGAATTAGAAGAATCCCTCTTTTCTTTTTAATGACAAGCCCTCCTCTCCATTTCTCAGCTCTCCAGTCATGCAGACGAGTCGCCACAGCTTCATTCCAGCCAGGTACCCAGCACGAGGATGACCCATCAGTCTGCTGCATGTTACATGAGCCAATCTGCTGGGATGATAAATGATAACCAGGAGCTTGGTGCTGCTGGCCCTGTCAGAGGAGATTTCAGATGGGAGCGATGATGAGGTTGCCACACCGAAGCACAGTGCGGACTCACAGCAGGTACAGAGCAGAGGATGCAGTGCCACCAATTAATGTTTGTCTTAGTTCACCAGAGCACACTACACAACATGTCGGCAATTGCTGCCCCAACAAATAACAACTGAGCAAATGTGCAGCACTCTTGGGAGCAGGTGGGAAGGTGCAAAGTGTAAGGGAATATGAAACAACCAACAGCAACAATTAGTCAGGTGTTGCTTCAGGAATCACCTGGGGAAAAGAATTTTGAACAAAAAACAAAACAACAAAGATTTTTACTCTTTTTTTTCCCCTCAAAACTGGTTTTAAATAGAGAAGTGTACATTCATGTGATGACCCATCAAAGTGTGAAATATTTATCCAGATGAGATGTGTTCCCCTAAAATAAAGAAATGTAATTTAAAAAGCACCTCAATGGTAGGATTAACAGTGTTCTGAAATCTTACAGCGGAGCAATTTCACTCGTCCTTTCTGTCAGGCTGCTCGACGTTCCTCCTGCCATGTCTGCATCACTACAGCAGGTCTTTGTAAATAGCTGCCATCTGGAAATCACTAACAGCAGAGGGTGCCAAAGCTTTTCAGTTTTATATGTCCAAGGCACACTGAGTCTCATTGCCTTCAAACCTCCCAATTTAGGCACAAGATTGTGGGGCTTTTCCCCCACAGTTTAAAGCAGTATGATTTGATCATTTGAACCAATTGAACTCACTTAATGGGGTTGACTTAATGTACAGGCAAAAACCAAACAGGGCCACCTTATCACATCACTATCAAATGAACTGTCAACACAACATTACATAATCTCTGTGAGCTGCTTTCTATCTGAATGTTACACTAGTTTAACTCCTGGGTGTTTTAAAGCTGACTTACCAGTCCTCTGTCTGTTTCATGGGATATTTTTTGTTCCTCAGGAGCTGAGATCTCCAACATGGGCCAAGTGGAAACATAATATACTGTAGATAATCAGATTTACTGCATTGCTGTCTTTCTTATATTGTCTTTCTTTCCTTTCCTTCCTTGATATTACTGCTAATTTCACAGCAGCATTTTAATGAGAAAAGCCCAGCGCTGCACAAAAAGAGGCACCTGTTATTCAGCCATTATCACACAACATCTTTATGGTCATTAGAGCTCACTCATGAAGCAACAGTTACCGTGCTAACACAACCATGTCAAGCACTGCAAAGCTATCCCATTAAGCAAACTTTTGTTCTTCAGATTGAGCTGTAGTGAAGAACCCTCTTCCATGACACTGCAGTGAGTTGAGATGAGTTACTGCTGTTCACAATATCCATTCTGTGTGCACCTGACCCGGGATTGAATATCCCTCTCACCATCTGTTATGAGAGAGGGAGAGAGAAACAGACAGAGCAGGAGAATGTGACAGAATATAAAATATGTTTTGATTGTGTGAAAATAAATGAACAATACCTGCTCATGGTTTTTGTTGTTGTTGTTGTTGTTGTCAAAAATAGAGAATGATCATGGCATATTTTCTCTCACATAACAATTCCATGGTGCTAATTGTTTGTTTTGAGGTCATCACAATGCCGCAGTGTTTCTGCATCTGTTTACATCTTACTTGTTTACACAGTGCTGCAGCTCAGGTGAGTTATTGCCTGACGGTGCATCTTATCATTTGCATCTCACCAGCTGAGCTGACTGTAAGTTAATTCTTTCAGTTGGAATGAGCATTGTTCTGACATTTAAACCACAGGGAGCCCATGATATGTTGGCAGAGAGAATAAAGTACATGCACCATGAAAGTATGGAGTGAGATATATAGCAGCATAATCTGAAGAATGTCTCCGAAATCTTTAGTTTTAAGTGCCAAATGAGCTTGCGAGGCAGAAGGCTGGCCCACACTGCAAGTGACAGATGTCTGATATGTTTGGCAAGGATTAGCTAAAAGCGTATTTCTGCACCTTCTCCATCACTGGAGCTCAGACACTTCAGAAAATTCACCAGTTTCCAAATTATGTGCAGGCAGTGAAGCATCAAGACACCAAGAATGGAGGTTGTCCAACTTGTACATCTGCCCTTAAAGAAAAAAAAAAACGGATTACAAGGTCAAAAGGGTGAAATACAAATAATTTGCCACACAGTAAGATATTTATTTAACAGTTTATGTTTGCCAATGATGCATTTTTATCTGAAAATATTAAAAATAAAACATCTGTCAGCTCAGCAAAAGGGCCATGATTTTCATCCAGTCTTTTTTTTTTTGTATATCACAAAAATTTATGCCAGTTTATTCATCACTTAAAGCACCGTAGGACATGACAGCAAAAATATTAACATTTGACCAATTTGTTATTTTTACAGAATAGTCATATGTACAATGATAAATCTCCTTCCTCTAATGCAGAGTAAAAAGCTCTATCCGCCTCACATAATGTTCCATCCAGCATCGCCCACAGTGATGGCCAGTCAAATTGGATTAAGTTGAGGTGGCTTGGGGCTTCTCTGCAGCTGCTGCTGTTTGATATGAGGTTTTAGTGTGCTTCAAGTGTTAACTTGGCTAGACTTAAAAGACTTGCAGAAACACATTCAAATTTTACATGAAACTACAGACTGTGATGCCAGTGAGTCATCGGTCTTACCAAAAAGGAGAACATTATAATAAGTGATGGTTATGTAGGCTTAGCAACGTCAGAGTGACAAGTCAGGACACTGACTCAACGAAGTTCAGTTTAGTTTGTTTTTATGAATCACTAGTCCAGGTGTCATTTCTCAAAATGTATTTGTAGAGACAAAAATTAACAAGGACATCATTACCGAACTAAATTAGAATGTAAAGTGAAGGCTTTCCATTCAAATTAATATTTTTGATTGGTTTTTACTTTAAGTTTATGTTTAAATTGTCTAGTTGTGGGATCTGATCCTGTAGTATTTCCACAGTTTGTTGAAATCAAACAATGACAAGAGCTTCACAGTGATGGAGGGCATACATTATGTGTAGTCTGGATTCAAACAGAAGGCAGGCAAGCCATGTGGCCACAGCCACGGCCAAAATTAATTCCCATTGCCAAAGTGCCTTAAGGTATGGAGCCAGTAAAAGCTGTTCTCACCACAAAACTATAGCTAACAGTATTTGTTCAAATGCTTAAAACTAGTCTTCCTCTTGTGAAGTCATGTGAAAATGGACCTTTCTTTAATCTATATACCACAACTATGAATGGTTGAAAATCCAGTTCGTAACACCAGAAACCCTGGTTTGTGTTCTCTTTTACCAACATCAGTTCATTTTAGCCTTAAATACAGTCATGCCCCTGGTTTTAGTTACTTAAATTTCACTAAATAGCATATCAGAAAACACTCAAACTGTTTTTGTAATGGTCATATGGGTAATTTTGGAATGCAGTGACACATATTGTTGTACAGAGTTATAGTACAGTCCCACCTGGAAGTAACAAATGCATGGACCAGTCTGTCAGTTTTTTTTATTTTTTATACATTATTAAACTATCTTCCCAGGCTAGGAAAAACTCTTCTGACTTAGTGGAGCACCACATCCTTTCCAGTTTTTGTGATGCCTGCTTTAGGGAGCGGAGCTGCGAGCTGTACCACGGGGCCTCCTCTGTTTCACTGCCTTCTTGTTCAGAGGGGCAACAGTATCAAGTGTCGTGCGCAGGGAGGCTGCAGCACTATCAACAAGATTATCGACTTGTGTGGGAGTAAAGTTAAGGTGGCCACCCTCCACTGTGTGCTTCTCAGTGAGTTGGGAAAACATGGGAAAGTAGAGTCACAATGCAAATAGTATTGCATAATAATACTTTAGAAATCCAGTGCCAGAGCTGTACAGTATTTAACTTCACCTATAAACAACAGAATGAACTAGATTGATATGTATTCATCTTCTTTTATTTCCACTATCTGGTATGACCACAAAAGAACAGACTGATGTGGACATTTAAGACATTTTTAGAATGACGCCAGAATTAAATTATATATTATTATGTTTTTAAACTTTTTTGAGTATTTGTGTATTTATGATGAATTTTCTTTGAAGCCTCTTGTCACATAAACCTCATGTTAAAGGGGTCCTCAGGTTTGGGGAGATGTTTGGGTTTCTGCAATAGCATCATAATGAAAATCTTGGGTTAGTCAGTGAAAATCAGTGATAGGAATTCTGAGCCAACAGGGGTAGTGAAAGAAGGAGAATGAAGAAGGGACCTAGAAACAGGTACTGTATATAAAGAGAGAAAATGCAAGTTGACATTGCCATGGGAACAGCTGCATCTTGTGCATCCAAAGAGAGAGTCATTCTGGAAAAAAGCAGGGCATCATCTGAGCACAGATTAAATTTTCTAATATTGTAAAGGAGTCCTCACCCTGCTCTGCCTGTACAGCAATGGGGAACAGTATTTTATAAGAAAGCAAACATGTTTAACATGTTTATTCTGTAAACAATGTTTAATAAGAGGTCATTTTTTTGTAGGGATTTCATTAAAGAGGATAGAGGGATGATGATGATGATGATGCTGATGCTTTTAATCTGATGTGTACTCGCATTTATCACCAGACAAAACCACCTGCTATCATAATAAGCCATGCTAAGCACTGCTCTACAGTACCTATTTTCACATATAAATGTGTATCTTTATACTGTTTTGGGCATAGTAAAATGAGCATGGATGAGAACATTTTGAATTGCTTTGACAACAACTGCAACGAGAGTTGTCCTACCTTCACACTAAGTGCCAGGGAACAAGCAGGTGCTACTAAGACTGATGCACTTGACTCTTCCCTGTCAGGTAGTTCAAAAAATTATGAAGAACATACGAAAGTCATCAATGAAAAGCTGAGCCAATTGTCCAAGACGCAGGGTCATGCACTATTTCTACTTTCTCCCTTTGGACTACTTTCAAAATAGAAGCAAGATGAACATGTTATTGGATGACCCGAGGTGTGAAGGATTCTCAACAAACAGAGATTTTTGAAGGCTGGCTACTAATCTGTCTTTAGATGAAAACCAATAGGTGTATCAAAACTAAGAAAACATGCCGCATGCTCGCTCCTTAACCCAGTCAAAATCAGCGACCCTGTACCTTCCTCATCATATTCCACAATTTGAGCAACAAGCAAAATGGACTCGAGGCTTTGAGATATAGTCAGATAGATGGACAGGCTCTATCTTAAGGGGAGTTCCAATCCGTTCAAAGATTTGACAAAATAAAAAGGTAGCTGAGGAAGATCAGAACCTGGTGCTCCCTGCTTTACTCGGTTATGTTGAAGATTATGAGAGCCCTTTGATGGTTTTCCTAACCAAGCTTTTGCAGACAGTTTGGGCTTCACACCATGTTTAGTAATGGCAACATGGTGAGGCTCCCTCTTGTTTATGTGCTTAGGTGACTTTAACATACCGGGTACCATGCTGACTGGTGTATAAACATTCATTATCCTTCATAAACCTCTGCACTGTCTTCCCAGCATATATCATAACCCCCTTAAGCACTGGTCAAATGTTTAAACACAAACCAACCAATTTTCTTTAAGAATTTCCTCCAGTTCATATTGTACCTGAAAAATGTTGTAATCTACAAGAGCTAGATTAAAGGCAAAGTCAGTTGAGGGCAATTAAATTTATAGAAACCATGTGCAGTGGCTTGAAACACCTTGGTGTTTACATCAATTTTACATAATATCTTGTTATCCCATGCTCCTAAGAGAAGTTTCATATACTGATATCCATTGGGATTCATGCAATAGAAAACATCATGTCATATAAACATCAGAGAAAATCCCTGCATGTCACTGATAAGGCCTTACTGTGATATGGATCAGAAGGACATTTGAGTCTGATGGATCAATAACTGCAGATGTTCTGGCAGCACACGACCACCAGTCTTTAAGATGGAGGCTTACTATGGCTCGAATGAGACATTAGGTTTGCAGGGACTAATAACTAAAAGATAGCTGGACAAAGATCATCACAGGCTATTTAAGCTAAATAGAGCATTTATTGTTCATATGATGGTACAGTAAATGATGATGTGATGGAAGGTTTAGATTTTTCTTGACTGTAAAAAGGTAAAGGAGGATAACTGTATACTTTTAGTATAGTATATACATATAATTAAATTTTATTTGGTGCTCATCAAGACTTAACAAAAAGTTTAATAAATTAAAATACTGTATCTACAATCAGTAACAACACATAACAGATTTCTGTCAGTACACAAAAAGAAAAAAACAGAAAAAGAAAAATCCATTAAATAGAAAAAGCTTAGTACAAAAAAAGGAAATATTTCTGTTATAGGAACGTCATAATTGAATATACAGTAGGTTCCTTGTCAGTCAGGAGTGTCTTTATGAAAATAATCAAGAAGACAATCATCGCAGTCGGCAGGTTCACTCAAAAGTGTTTGTGCAAGAT